TTATCTATTTTTTGCTATTTATAATGGTTATTTGACGTTTTGTCACGTAACCGAAGTTTACAGTGGACGGCAGATCTACTAGATGTTCAAATGATCTTACATTAACAAGTTCCTTTGTTTTGTTAGTCAGCTTTTTGTTCTTCTGTATTATGTCAAAGTAGTTGTTTTCAATCTGAAAATGGAATAAAATACTTTTTCAATTATAAAAACACTAAACACAGTAACACTTACACTTCTTTTCCTTACCCATTCATGGACAGTACGCATTAACGGCATGAAGTCGATCTCGACTGCACGAAGTCGATTTCGACTTCATGTCTAACGACATGGACAAGGACTTCACGCGTATCCGAGACCTCTGCTGCATGAAGTTGATAACGACTTCACACATTAACTGCATGCAGACGATCTCGACTTCATGCAATTAATGAGTGACGTCGTTATCAGAGACCGTAGAATATGACATCTAATATTACAGCAAAAGCCGTTACATTTTTTGAACGGGTGAAGTTTGTCTTTGGACGGGTGAAAGCGGGTGTCGCAGGTAGCGACTAATAAACTCCGAAAACCAGCAGCTACGTCAATGTTTATCATATATTACAATGTTATTTTAAAAAATTAACTACCTTTGTTAACACGTTGCTTATCAAATTAAATAAATACTTTAACAATCTTTCGCGTTTACACAGTTATCTTTTTAATTACGCACAACCAGCCACAATTCTAGTTACATGTTAAAACATCTCAAGATAAATATAATAAAAATTATATTTCTTGGATAAGATTGTTTTATGTATTTGCATGGTTATTAACATAATTATGTTTACGCTTTAATCATATGATATTGGTATTGTAGTTAGTAACATAATCCTTTTAAAAAACTGTACACAATAAAAAAATTGTGAATTAGGACCAGCGCCTATTGGCGAGAAACCGTGGGACAGGGGATCCTGCGGCACCCCTATATGCAAGCGCATGCTGAAGACAAATGCAACAGTATCCTTAGGCATGACTCACAGCATCGCTTAGCCCCTGTTTAGTGCCTCTAAACGAACTGTCACAAGTGAGGCAAAAATCAAATTCATGTAGGCTAGTTTTAATAGTAGGTTAATTTTCGGTTTTAGTGAATATTTATATAAAAATACAAGTTGAAACGCGTTACTTCCTTGTGGAATGTGATGTTAGTATCTATTTTATGTTTGTCTGACGTATTTTTACACTCATTTACCGCACATTTCGTCAGTTTTAGCTAAAATTCTTGAGCTGTTCGCGGTGCAAGTTGACCTTGAGCACTGACGGCCCGCCCGCTCGTGTAGGCCCTTTGGGAGCGCTTCAATTTGCCTCACTTAGCGTGTGCGGACTAGGTTTCTATGCGTTATTATTCTAAGGCCTCTACCACGAGATTACTGTGACAGTTTTCGCTATCGAACCGCGTAAATTGCTTCACAATTTTGTATGTCAAATTATACAACACCCCTAGCGGTCACAAGACGAAACAACATTTCGTACACAAACATTTTACGCAGTTTTTTTTATTATATAAAGTGACGGGACGAACAACTCGTGCGCCTGATGGTAAGCTACACGCCTGTCCATAACAGTTGCAGTGCCTCTGAAGATCTAAGGGGCACTGCCACTGCGCTCGTGCCTGTAATTTCGCTAACACCCTTACCCTTCAAAACCGGAACACAGTAATGCTGACATTACTGGCAGTACTTCCCTGGATGAACTCTTTCACAAGGAGCTGTACTGCGGTTACTGGTCGCTAGCGATAAATATAGTAATCGGCACAGACTTTGGGAAGGTTTTTATTCCTCAAATACGGGCCATCTGCAATGTAGCGCCGTAAGTCACTTTTCAAAACGTGAAGCCCCTCTCATGCCTTTACATACTCGAAGTTGGTATATTTGTGAAACGAAATCTATAAAAATTCACAATAGCGAAGGACGTAACTGCCAGAAGCCTAAGGAACTCCAATGATACTTGGTACAATACCCAAAGAAAACGTTTCCATATTAACTCGTACGTTATATGTGGAAACATTTTTAATCATACACCCATTGACTTACCATTATATGGACGTCGGGTCCGCGCTAAAAAGTGTCCGAACTTATAGGGCGTTAAAATCGTATACAGAGCGTCATTCGCGCTTTAGTCTTCGTTTGTTCGACTGACAGCGAAGCAAGCAAAACTAGACAGTACTGCGATGACATTACAATTTAAATTCAACGTTTTAGCTTTTTCATATTCCTTTACATGTCATTACGTTTAAATAGGTTGACTTGGGACATTTTTTTCGCGGTTTTTGTATTAGACCCGTCGTCCATTTATTTGTAAGTCAATGCATACACCAGATCGCTTTAAGCTTCGTCCATTGACTAGTTTCAAAAAGGAGTTGCGTAGGTGGCTCTTTGATCGTTTGTTCTACTCAGTTGACGAATTCATGAAATATAAGAACTAATTAATTGATGCATACATTTTTCTCTACAATTATTATTATTTACTTTAAATTATGACACACTCAGTTACGAAACCTCGTATTTATTACCTCGTATTACCAGCAGAGCTTCATGAGGATATTTTTTCAAGTGTAAAAAAATGTAAACAAGCTGTAAAACTTATTTCGGAAGATTTAAAGGGCAGAATTCATAACTTTATTTACTTATATTATATTATTTTTTTAGTTTAAATTATAATATTTTTGTCTTAGTATTTAGTTATTGCGACTCAATTCCTTTCGCATAAACCCATTAAAGGGTTTTTGAAAGGAAAATCTAAATGTACATATGTGTTTAATTGTAAATTGAATAATAAATTAATAATAATATTAAATCCATTAACTTTATCAATTTATTGTCTGATTCTTGTTTTTACGTTCAGTCTTAATCTATCAGTGTATTATTTGATTATTGTATTTGCATGCTTTTATTTAGGAAGGCCGAATAGGTTTAAGTGCTGATTTAATTTTTACCATCAACATGTATAATGCACCGTGCCCTATTTGAAGCGAATAAATGAATTATTATTATTATTATTATAATCTCATGGTAGAGTACAAAGTAACCGTTGCATGTTATGTTAACAATAACCTCCGGTTAGAAAAACCAACCTCAAAAGTCATTCATCCCCTAGTTTGCCACTCTTAGAGGTGGAATATTTTCTAGAAATTTAAATGGGACCACATCTGAGGTACCTTCTTTCCAACAAAAAAAGAATCATCAAAATTGGTTCACAGACGGTGGAGTTATCGCGTAACATACATACAAAAAAAAACATACAGACGAATTGAGAACCTCCTCCTTTTTTGAACTCGGTTAAAAATGATAGTTTGTAAGCTATAGCGTGAGCGGCAATCCGTACCGGACTTAGGGTCGTATTCCAGAACTCTACTCAATGCTCAAGTCAGGACTTGAGTATTGCAGTGAGCACTGAAAATCATACTCAAGGCCTAGAGTCGTATTTCCAGTGCTTGTGTTTCCAGTGCAATCCTGACTTGAGCATTGAGTAGAGTTCTAGAATACGACCCTTTGAGTCGTATTCCAGATCTCTATTCAATGCTCAAGTCGGGACTTGAGTATGATTTAAAGCAATGAAAATCATACTCAAGTCCTTGCCATTAGGGTCGTATTTCCAGTGCTTGAAATCACACTCAAGTCTGCTCAAGTCAGGACTTGCAATCCTGACTTGAGCATTGAGTAGAGTTCTAGAATACGACCCTTAGAAACCTGCCGAAGCATCTCGAAGGCTGCCGAGACATTCCGAAGGCTGCAGGTTCAGTATCCCTTCGCTTACCGTAGATTTGTTATCGTAGCTACTTCTATTATCATTGAAATTTAAACTATAACGTCATAAAATTAAGGTATTCGTCCCCTAACTTTGCCGTGCCGTCTCATCAGTGAGCGTTTTATAACAAAAAAAGATCTGGGGCGGAAATATTAAAAAAAAATACAACCCTAAGCAAGTAATAAAGACAAAAACATAGCCCTGAATGACTGATCACGACTCACGACTGACAGATACAGTGACTGAGACGCTAGTACTGTTGGCAAGACAGCCTTGGTACTGGTTTACGTCGTTCATTGATCCGGTTACATGTGCTTTCATTCTAAAAGGTATTTCTACGTTTGTGTAGCGCGAAAAGTAAGCTTATTACAAAAACGTCAATAATTGATACAATTAGAGCGTATAATTTAGAGCGTATTTTTTTTATGTAAAGAAGGAGGCAAACGAGCAGTCAAGCCACTTGATGGGAGGTGGTCATCGTTGCACATGGACATTTGCAACATCAGATGAGCTGCCTATGCGTTGCCAGCCTTTGAGAGCGTTGCAAACACGCTTTTTGAAGAACCCCACGTCATAGAGCAAAGAAAATGCTACAAGAGGAAGATCATTCCACATCTTGCAGGTTCGAGGAAGGAACGGACGAGATGCCCGCGTGGTCTTACAATGCCAGGCATCTAAGATGTGGGGATGGATTCTACTCCTTTGGCGGGAGGTGCGATGGTAGAATCGACACTCTCCATTATAAAGGCGGTAGAACACACAGAGAGAGCCTACGTCTCTCCGTAGTCTAAAGGGCTCCATACCATCCATGCGTTTGCGCCCTACGTCCGATTCGTAGCAGGGGTCTACTCTCGATTTCCGTCCGACATCCGTCCGAATTACTGCCAAATAAGCAATACTTGACCAAATGAAAAGACGCGTGATGCAAATGAAGCTTCGTACTGGATACTTGTCTTTCAATTTTGTCGAATATTACTTATTTGACAGTAATTGTTTCGGACGGATGCCCAGAAATGACAGTCCAAAATGTCACAGGGATCATTTTATCTCTAGGTATGCGATAATCATATTTTCTTTTCATATAATTCGTAACGAATATTCCAAGACCTTCCTTACAGTCTATAAGTTAACATTTACGCGACATATTGTAGAAAAATAACAAATTCCAGTGTTCCCGTGTTGCATCAGCCACTGTACCGAAACTTTTCTCTTTTCAGTGTCTGGCACGAGGAGGGCACTGGCACTAATAATATGCAGTCGTTCAGCACGCTGGCACGCTACCGCTGGACTGGCATAAAACTACACGACGCCACAGCTTTATCAGGGGCCCAATTCTGCTAATTTTTATAAAACCACTAGCCATTGCGTAATTCCATTGAGATTTTTATTGCAATTATGATAACATTTGCTATTCTGCATGCTATGCTAAAATGTAGTTGCAACGAACGATGTTTTTTCATTTCCATTATCGAATTCACTGCGTCAAGGTCTCCATGAAATATGCCGTCTTGAGCTGTGCCACATAAAACTGCAATTAGAAATCCGCTACATCCAGTCTAGCCAACGGTGGAACCACATTTCATATACGTGATTAACCATTACATAATACATATCGACACCATCATCATGATTATCGATTTTTTTACAGGCCTATTATTTTGTGTACGGACATGACATGAATGTGTGTTTTATCTGTGTATTTGTAAAAATAAGCTAGTGTTGTCGATTTTTGTTTGTGTGAGACCATAGTGACATAACTCAGTATTGCATTTGAGTGCACCTGTTCGCTTGTAATCCACTCACTTGAAGTCCACTAACTAAAACGCGGACGGCAATGTAGTATTAAAAATATCGCTAAGTAATACCGCCTCCGGTTCTATATATGCTGTAACGCAGTGATGTCATATTCAATCATTCAATTACGATCGATGTTGCTTTACTTACTTTACCATGGAAATTACTATGCATACCTTAATTTTTATCTCGTTTAAGCAGCAATTTTTTTTTAATAATAATAACGCACACTCAACATATTAGGGAAACCCTGTGTCGCGGGTGCCATGGACACACATAGACAACCACAAATTACACAGTCAGTGGCTGTGGCTATGCTGAATGAAGTCCTTTTGTGTACGCCACAACCACACATGTGACAGTACAAAATTTGCAGTCGTTATATTTTGTTTTTTTGCTTTTTGTCTGATCTATCTTATTTTATGTTTTTTTTCATTGTATTTTGTTTATTAATTCTTTTTATTTTGTTTTGTTTGTCTGTGTTATCAATTTTAGTTTTTTTTATGTATGTATTGTGGTATAATAATAACGCAAACACTCAACGTAGCCCCGCACTAGGGTAACCCTGTGTCGCGAGTGCCATGGACACACACATAGACAACCACAAATTACACCCAAACTGACGAGAGAAATAAATGTAGGCCATACAAATATTTCTTCCGGCCCGGAAATCGAACCTGGGACCTCTGCGGGCAGTCCAGCATGGTAACCGTTCTACCACTAAAAAAATTGCAATGGCATGCAAAATCGATAGCTAGCAACTGACAAGCTATTATTATAGCAGAATACCAAACGTAAAAAATCCTGCCATTGAAACTCTATCATTACAGTTAACTACGTTTATTTAAAATTAACAGAATTGGGGCTCAGAGCTGTTGTGTCAGTTGCACTGCCAGTCACTGCCTCAGTGTAAATAAATGCGACCTTTTGATGATGTTATCTGGCTATGCGTTTATTGAACTATATTTACCCGCGATTGCTCCTTCTCAAGGCCTTTCAATCTCCGTTCCATAAAAGTCAAACGTTTTTTGAAATCGCCCGCGATACAGTTGCACAAATTTAGCGATTCACCGAAAATAACCATTTTGCATTTAAAATCTTCGAAGTCACTACGGAATCTGAAAAAAAAACGATACAAAAAAATTGCTGTACCTCTGGTTATTAACAGACATTACAAGGCAAATGTTTCACCAGCGCTCATGATACCAAGAGCTAGGCCACCGATGTCGTACCGCTGTGCAAATACCCCTTCTTTTCTGTATAAAATATCAAGTGACGAGACAGTTGTAGTGCCACTCAGAGCTTTAAATCGAAAAGATCTTAGGGGCACTGCCGCTGCGCCCGTAACCCTGAGACCTAGGTTGACAAGTCCCATGTGCCTGTAATTTCACCAGCACCCTGGCTCTTCAAAATCGGAACGCAGTTATGCTCATGTTACTGCTTGGCGGCAGAAATAGTTAAATATAGTAGTACTTCCCTGGACGAACTCTTCCACGAGCTTTGCAGCTACTAAAAAGCTATTTAATTTGTACGTTGTACACTTGACATAAAGTTCTTTATGGTATATACAATGTTTAACAAACTGGGGGAAATCCGTAAGAAAGAAAAAAGGGAAAAAAAGGAAGAAAAAAAAACACAAAATACATTAAATAAATAATACAAAAACCTTTCTACGTTAGTTGTGAGCGAGGTTTTGGATAACATAGTGGCCAGACTGACGGACGTCATCGTGGATAGGGACGGTAATGATCCCAACGTGCTGTCTTGGGACAGTGAGACTTCCTGTGGGAATGTGAAAAAAACTTAAATTGAATTAAAAAATACGTGATAGCTCACAAGCCCGATGGTTTGACATAGAATCTGGCCAACGAAAGCTGGCACAAAAAAAAGCGGCAAATTTGAAAAATCTTGCGCTTGCAACACTATAGGCAAACAGCAGGCTTAGCATGAGTTCGAAGACAAAAGTTTTCTGTCAAATCTCTCTCGAAAATGACGTCTCTACGAATTATCTCGAACATATACAAATGTCAAATGAAGATAATTTTTCTCTAACCGTAACACGACGGCCAAATTTTGTATACTTTTGCGGTTCGCTACAATAATAATTAATAGTGATTTTGTCCATTGACTAAGTTTTCACATCAAAGGACAATCGAACTTATCAGCTATCATCTTCAAGTTTTTTTTTGTTTTCGAGCTCGTCCTAAGTGTACTGAAATTTTAAAATTACGAACGTGTCTACTAAACCCGTGATGAAGATGATGAAAATTTTACCATTTTGTACCTAAAGGCTTCCCACGGCCCGCGCCGCGTGTTTCTTGAAAACCGTGGAAAGAGAAGCCTTCTTACCTTCAAAGGCGTTTCGTGAGCGCACCCATACAAATCGGCGCGGTTGACATAACGGACCGTGGGAACGCACCATAGCATTGTCTAGAAGACATTCTCACCTGTTATGTGTTTATGAGCTTATGTTTACGTTAATTTTTTATCAACCGATTTCAAAAAGGAGGAGGTTCTTATTAGGATTATTTATATATCGAGTACATATGTAAACTTGTTAGGTTTTCGTGATTGTTACAACATAGGAAATTAAACTGTTTTTTCTGATCTACTACAAACCAACGTTTCGGGGCCTTTACAAGTCCCATGGTCACGGCTGAATGAGATGGTACAATCATATACTAGTTATGCTGGCTTCCCACAGCCCGTTCCCGCAGATTCCCGGGCCGCGCCGCGCGAGCACGCGCCAACGCGCAACTGGGAAGAGTGAATATAATGAAAGATCTGCGGCACGAGCTTGGCCCGTAATGTCACGGACCGTGTGAAGCCGTCTTTATATCTAAAATTAATAAAAAATAATTATGGTTGTAATTGTTTGAAATTACAAATGTACGCGATTTTGATCCGAAAAAATGTTTCATATCCTTAATTTATTTTTCACCTCACTAGCTCCGAAAGGTTTACTTTCTCATTACTAATCTGCGCGCAAAAGCGCTTTTTCCACGCTAGCGTGGAAAAGGTTTTTGAAATTCGAACTTGACGACGCGATGGACTGTGGTGCACCTAACTTTTTCTTTCGATAAAAAAAAACGTAATGTCACGTTCTAGTACGCGATTTGTCGTACATCATATTTATAAGTAATATAAATCCGTTGGTATAATTTTTATTCTTATTATTGCTGACATTAAATTGACAACGATAACTAATTTTTTAACCGACTTCAAAAAAGAAGGAGGTTCTCAATTCGACTACGTTTTTTTGTGTATGTTAAGCAATAACTCCGGTATTTGTGCACTGATTTTCATGATTCTTTTTTTGTTGGAAAGAGGGTACCTCCATAGTGGTCCCATTTAATTTTGAAGAAAATCATCCACCTCTATGAGTGGCTGTTCACGCATGAAGATTCATTTTTATAAATAACGCTTAAATTTTATTAGAAGGAGCAATTATTTTAATGGTTGATTTTGCTGTTCTCTAATTCAAGGCGTTTTTCTCTCAATATACTTTGAGTAGTGAGAGCTGATTTTTATTATCTCCTGTGTCAAGTTCCGTATAGTGGCGAACTAGCGGATGAATCCGGGTTTGCGCACTTTCCGGTAACCAATTTCAAAAAACTTAGCAAACACATGTAATTCCACGTACTTTTGAGGTCGGTTATTTTAGTACTCTGTTGTTTATTAAATTATTTTTGATATACGAATGAATAAAACGAATTTGTTATAGTTCAACTGTTTTTCTTTCATCTACGAATTTTTACCTCACTATTGCCAAAAAAATGTTTGGCAATAGTGAGGTAAAAATTCGTGTGTTTCGCTCGGCAGCAGTCGTTTAGAGTCTCGTGTCGTTGAAATCCTCGCTACGCTCAGGGTTCTATTTTTTAAACGAGCGAAGCGAAGCTCGTGCTAACACACTTGTTACTATCTCACTTTCAAAGGAACATTTCAATGGAGTTTAATTTCCAAGTCTACAATGAAAACTTTATACTATGACCTTTATATTAGGACCAATGGTTGGAGAAAGTTGTTCCATATATTTAGATACATGTATAGATATAGCTACTAGGAGCGACATAGTTTTGTTAAAACCACCAAATACTAATTAATTACTTTCGAATTCCGGATTTCCGGATGAAAGAAAGTCCTCTCTCTATTCTATTTATGAAGATAAATAGCCGTATATGGGTAAGGCCGTCAAAAATGCCACTTGTCTTGTTTAAGACAAGTGGCATTTTTATGTAATAAATGTATTCTATTCTATTCTATTCGAAGAGTCCAGCAGTTTTTTTATAAGAAGTATTTAAATAGTCTAGTGAGAACGTTTTCCTTTTAAAATATGACATTTCTGCTAGTGGTTCGAATTTATGAACGAATGTTATACTGTGTTTTTGACTTTAAATCAAATATTTTTAGAGCTCGATCATAACGGTTCTCATGCAAATTAAAATGTTCTAAAATCCCCCTCGTCTTAAGTTCGACTAGCAAATGTCGCCGTTCCGTCCATGTGACCGTCAATTTCGGTATCTAAAGCTAGGGAGGGGCGGAGAGTG